TAAACTGAAATATTGGAGACTTTTTTAAACACATTAAAAAGTCCCTCTGTGCTCTTTCGGACAGCCTGTTTATCTGGCAACTGTGTCTGTACATATGATTCAGTACTTACCAGTGATCATCACCAGTGAGTATGTAGTTTAGTAATACACAGGAACTTTTGTCTAGCTGGTACTAATGCAATAGCTATAATGGCTCTGAATACACTCTTCTTACAGCATCTAATAAAGCATTAAAAGAGAGGATTTGCTGAAGAGTGGCTTGTTTTCTCTTTCTTTTGTTTTTAGAAATAACAAAGAAAAAAGTATATAAAGGAAAAGACAAGACAGGAAGAATGGATACAGCTTGAGATAGTAGATCCACAGCTTTACAGCAAAAATTATTCAACCAGAATAGAGGGCTTACTCCGTAGGACCTGCTTTTAACTTACCAATACAAAGGTCCATTGCCTTTCTGTGAATACAAAAGTGATGTCTGTTTGGCACCACTATATATTTTCACAAGTTAGTCAGCTAATTTTCATCCCAAGCTTACAAAAAATATTTGTCAGAAATTTCAAGTTTTCCCTTTTTTCCCCATAGATATCATCTTCATAATATAAAGATTATGGTTTAAAGAGTGAAAGTATATGAAATGTATGGCCATTTTCCAGGAGAAAAAAAGAAACTCTGTCTCAGCTGTCAGGAAAATCTTCTCATTCTTCTGCAGACTCTTCTATCCTGAGGGTAAATACGCCCCCTCTGCAGTCAGTGGACTTTGAAGAAGCAGCAGAAGACCATGCAAAATTTCAATTTGCAGGGACTTCCTCTCATTTCCCTCATTTCTCTCCTCCCTGTTTCATTTTATGGCCCAGAAATCCCGTATTTATTGTCAGATCTCAATTCCTGATGTGACTCTGGTCTTACAGCAGAGCCTCTGGCAGGCCTGGTGGGAAAGGGAAGGAGGATTTGGGGGTAGCAGGCATGTACTTATGGAGCAGCCTGTTGTTGTAAAGAAAGATCTTGCCCTGGGATACATGGCTGAAGTGAACGTGCTGTAGCTGTGTGTAAGCAGAAGTCTGGAACTTGGTATTTATCATTTTACTAGAATTCAGAATCACATATAATTCTAGTGTTTAACTCTTTTCCACATTAAGGGGGGGGGGGGGGGGAGAGAGAGGAGTGAGGCTATAAGTGTAGTTTGCAAATTTTCAGGTAACAAAAATTGGAATTAAAATGGCTTATTTAATTATCCATATAAAAAGGGAGCTCATTAATAACTGCAAACAAGGTAAATCTACTAGATTTCAGCAATTCTTGTACAACATTAAATTTCATGCTGGAGCCATTCAGCATGCTTGGAATTTCACAGAATCATAGAATCATAGAATAGTTAGAGTTGGAAAGGACCTTAAGATCATCTAGTTCCAACCCCCCTACCATGGGCAGGGACACCTCACACTAAACCATCTCACCCAAGGCTTCATCCAACCTGGCCTTGAACACTACCATGGATGGAGCACTCACAACCTCACTGGGCAATCCATTCCAGTGCCTCACCACCCTAACAGGAAAGAATTTCCTCCTTACATCCAATCTAAACTTTCCCTGTTTAAATTTTAACCCGTTATCCCTTGTCCTGTCACTACAGTCCCTAATGAAGAGTCCCTCCCCAGCATCCCTATAGGCCCTCATTTGTACCATTTGAACCATTTGTACCATTTGAACATATATCCATCATACAATAAAATTAATAGCAATGTATGTTTATAGGCTCTGCACACAGGAATTTATCTTCCTAAACTCACTAGTGAATTTGATGTAGGGCCAGCATGCTGGACCACCACCAATGCATGTTGCCTGTCTCATCCAGACCTGTAGTAAGACAGCTGGCAAGTCCCAACTGTTTACTGCCTCTGCCTCACACACCATCAGGTCCAGGAAGGTGTAAGCATTTTGCATGACTGGAGGGCTATCCAGACTTGAGGGTGAATTTGATTTTTATTACAAAATTATGAAGAAAAAAATGCCCTAATATTGACACAGGCACAAAACCACCAAGATTCAGTATAATACCACCATTTAGGGATAATAACTAAACACCTGGGAATAAAAGCACAACCAGTTCAAAGGGGTTTGGTAAATAACTCCCAAGAATGTTTGACAGAATTTGTAAGACAAAATCAATTCTGAATCAAAATTTGTGACAGAGATACTGAAAAGTTATGCATATTTCCTTTTGTGTTAACAATTCACCTATCCACCATGACTTCAATTAACTACGGCTCCCTCTCTGTGCAGTTTACCTGTCTGTTGATATAACCATTTTCTATAAATAAGAGCTGGCAAGGTTGATTTTTACTGCATGCATAGCTGGATACTTCCGGAACACATTTTTTGATATACTGCATAGACCAGTAAATACCCTTAAAAAGAAATTTACTAGTCACATCTGCAGTTTGAATGTTTCTTTCTAAAAGACAAACCAAGGCCAAGCAAGACAAAGAATCTGCTGATACACACATGTCACTCCAAGAATTCTCCTGACAAAGTTCCCACACCCAATTTAATTACTTCCCTACTGTAAAAACACTTTCCATCTGCATTTATTGTAATAGTTTCAAATCCAAAACCAACAGACTATAAAGCTAGCTAAATAAATGAATGATATTGGCCTTAGGTCCCAAGCCAGGAGCTATTCTGTAAGGCTGTGTGTCTCCAGCATTCATTTTTGTGCTGATGTTTCATTTTATGTGCAATGTTTTCACTTAAGCCTTGTTTAGAGAAGAATTACCTTGCTCCAGGCTCTCAAATTTTGCGTGCCGCGCGGTGCCCTCTAGCGCCGCTCCAGACAACACTCTGACAGGGATTACTCCGCAAGACGGAAGTCAAATCACAGATTCGGATCTGACTAAAAACAATCCCATTGCAGGCTGTATGCACGGTACTGCACCGACTCAGTTCAGGAACATTAATTCCAACTGTATCTGATATAGCCTCAGACTGTGGCTGTGATGCTCAAAATGAAAAGCATCTTTGCTTGAAAACACACCCTAAAAAAAAATAAACTACCAGATTTAGCATCCAGGTTGATTTATCTGTAATCTGGGTTCCCTTTAGCACTCAGGAGGAAAAAAGTAACCTATTCCTCAGAGTTGGTATGAAGAATTTAACTACAGCTCATAATATCCACAAACTGACTATGAAAGAACTTGTAAAAGGATTTTCCTAACTAATTGTGATTGGGATTTCAGTGTGTTTCCTTAACACTTATAACTGGTAGAAGCCCATATGTCAGGATTCTGAATTTGAGAACATTCTATGAAACTCTATTTTCTCTTTTTCCCTTGTGGAGCTACTCTGAGAGGGCTTAGTTCAGTTATAACTATTATATATGATGTCTGATAATATCCCCTGCTTAAAAGGATAATGGAAAGGAGATGTTCAAAATAGTGTTTCTCACTTTGATATGTAAACATTTAGTGCTGGACTTGGTGGTCCTGGGATAACAGTTGGACTTTATGACCTTAAAGGTCTTTTCCAACCTAGTTGATTCTATGATTCTACGATATGCAGAAATAATGACAGTACATTGTATTCCGGGTCCTCAGGTTTGTTGCAATATCATACTCTGATGAAATTAATCAAACTATGGACCCCATAATTTTTAAAGACCTGAGATAAACCAGTCTTATTTGCACAAGCAAGACATTTAAATCCATGCACATGCACAAGTGTTTTGCTAAATTAACATTCTCCATGTCATCAAAGTATTTGGAAAGAGCTTGCCCCTTACAAAAAATTTTAATCCAAAGCAGCAGCACAGCAGATACATTTTTTTCATTTAGAAGTTATTAAACAAGGACTGACAGGCAAAATATGACTCCACTGAAGTCCAGGGCAAAACTGCTATTGACTTCACTGGCAGTGCATCTGGACATCAAATTTTGTACTCCCTTATATACATGTAGTTCTTAGAGAACTAAACAAAAGGCTGTGATAACAATTGACATAAGCTAACCAAAGAAATTCAGATGGTTCACAGCACAGCTCAAGCCATAGATACTATATTGGCCTTGGACATTGCAGGTGACACCCAGAGGGTCGTACTGCAACAGAGGCACAAATACATGGTGAAGGATGGGATTGGGAGGCAAACCTTGTATTACTTTGCATTTCTGAGCTTTAATCACAATGTTAGTGTGATGTCAGATTTGTTTTGGGGCTCTCCACTCACAGTTAAAGCATCTGAGTTTCAGTGAAACTGAAATAGGTCTTCTAAACAAAAGCAAGATGAAGACAGACAAAAAGCACTGCAAACCACTGGAAACTGAAGAAAGTAATATGTTGTAGCTCAACATCTTACTAATTAACAGCCAGATGTATCCTTAATGGCAAATCTAAACTAATTACTACTTCACCTGCTCAACTTTATCCATACACATATATATATGTGGAAAACAGGGAAGGTAAATCCATTTCCTTTTACCCATGTACATGAAATTAAGAAAGACTATGTTTGTAAAGTTTCTTTTTAATGTATGGCCTTGTCCCAAGTTCCGAACATAGAGGCATGTTTTTATAGGTGAAAACTAAGAAGTTTTGATAAAGTTGGATTTGCCCCCATAAAGACTGAATTGCTGACACTGAAAATAAACTACATTATCCATAAACTTCAAGACTCAGGTATGCAGAAAAGGGATAAAAAAAGAAAGCGAGATTTGATTACACAGATTTCCCTACACTATTTAATAGTTTGTGCTTTTTTTTTTAAATGAGAATGACAATTCAGTGCTATGGCACCATCCAAACTTCGAAAACCTAGATGATAGCCCTCACCTTTAACTGAGAAAAAGGGGGGGAAAAACCCTTTCCAGAGTGAAATCAATTAAAATTGATCCATCTATCCATCCTTCATAAAACATGTCTCTCATGCTCTTGCTGCTATGGAGCTGCAGCAGAGTTCTGCCTCGCGACCTGCCACCACGCTGCAGTGAGTCAGTGTTTGCCCTCTTGTACCATACCTGGGTTTCTGTGGCTCTGAAGCATCTGACTCTGTACACGGTTTCTTTACCTGCAAAAGCAAATGAGTGCCAGTTACTTTCACATGAAACACAACTTCCTTGCTCACAGTTCACGCACTTACAGCGCTTAAAGTGGATCCAGCTCTGTTCACCATGATCTCTATAAAATACTTCCCACATTTTAGAGCAGCAGTATGCAGTACTAAACAGTGTGTTTCATTATTATCCCGTGAACAGCTGCCAACTACACTTCCCCAGGCTCCATTAGTATGTAAAATGTTCGGCTAAAATAGCTTGGGAGTAGTCTAACTGGGAACAAAGAAACCAAAGAATCAGGTTCCCCACTTCGAAACGAGAAAGCCATACTGTTCTCAGCTCAGTGAAGAAATGTTTTCCCAATTGATAAAGCTTCTGTTTCCTGCTAAAGCTCACAATAATAAACACCAGATTCTGGGTCAAAGCGCAACATTAGCTAAATAAGTCATATGTTAATTTTCATTTTGTGAATCTGCTAACTGTACGTTAACTGTATTTTCCTATTGCATCAATGAACACATACACCCATTTTCACCCATAATTCCAATATATCATTTCATAAAAGGTATTTCAACTCCCAATTTAATCTTTACAATACATTGCTGTAGGCTAATTAAAGCTGAAAAAAAATCCAACACTTTCAAATAAAAAGAGAAAAATGTCCTCTTGCAGACTAGGTATCTCCTTGGGATCTTCAAGGTATCCCGCAAAAATTTAACTGTACCTTTTGGAAATATATATTTCTTGTACTTTCAGCAGAGAAAAAAACACTTTCCTCAATTGCGTGCTAATGCAGAATCCAGGGCTGTGTGGGAGATTTCAAAACTCATTGTTTAAAGCTACCTAGAAACATCCTGGTCACTCAGACTCCCTTGATGTGACTGACACAATATAAAGAACATTCCCATATTCTTTTAAAGTGTCCAATGACAATTTTTGTTAATACTTTTCATCATGACTTCTATGTCATTTTGCTACTTTAAAAGCATTTCAAACAAAAAAATTGCAACTGTAACTCACTTCTATTGAAGTCATCTGCAAAGCACTCACCAACTCCAACAGAAAAAGAATTAGGCTAATGCTAAGTATTTTCCCTAAATACTTCAGCTGAATGCCACGCAGCACGACTCATAGATGTCTGAGTACAAGCATGGTTCAACAGATGGTCATTTTTGTTGTTCACTTGCAATCTAGACACTGAAAAAAACACAGAACCATAGAATGGTTTGGGCTGGAAGGGACACTAAAGATCATCTAGTTCCAACCTCCCTGTAACAGACAGGGATGAGTGTGCAAGATCACCCTTTGTAAATTATATATACATATATATATATACGCAAGGTCCTACACCTGGGTCGGAGCAATCCCAGGCACAGCTACAGGTTGGGCAGAGAAGAGATTCAGAGCAGGCCTGAGGAGAAGGACTTGGGGGTGTTGGTTGATGAGAAAATGAATATGAGACGGCTTCAGTGTGCGCTTGCAGCCCAGAAAGCCAACCGTATCCTGGGCTACATCAAAAGGAGCGTGACCAGCAGGTCAAAGGAGGTGATCCTGCCCCTCTACTCTGCTCTTGTGAGACCTCACTCGGAGTATTGTGTGCAGTTCTGGTGTCCTCAACATAAAAAGGACATGGAACTGTTGGAACAAGTCCAGAGAAGGGCCACGAGGATGATCAGGGGACTGGAGCACCTCCCGTATGAAGACAGGCTGAGGAAGTTGGGGCTGTTCAGCCTGGAGAAGAGAAGGCTGCGTGGAGACCTCATAGCAGCCTTCCAGTATCTGAAGGGGGCCTACAAACATGCTGGAGAGGGACTCTTCATTAGAGACTGTAGTGATAGGACAAGGGGTAATGGGTCAAAACTTAAACAGGGGAAGTTTAGATTGGATATAAGAAGGAAATTCTTTCCTGTTAGGGTGGTGAGGCACTGGAACGGGTTGCCCAGTGAGGTTGTGAATGCTCCATCCCTGGCAGTGTTCAAGACCAGGCTGGACGAGGCCTTGGGTGATATGATTTAGCGTAAGGTGTCCCTGCCCACAGCAGGGGGATTGGAACTAGATGATCTTAAGGTCCTTTCCAACGCTAACAATTCTATGATTCTATGATTCTATATAATATATATATAAATTACACTTAAACCTTTGACCAAGACTTTCAACAGTTAAACAGACTTCTATAAATATCTCCCTCAGACATTCTGTTTCATCACCACTAGTTCTGCTCTTCTTGGATTGTTTCTTCACTGTTCTTACTGTGCTACTCAATGGACTTGGTAGCTGAAATATGCTACAGAGGTGTGAAGGTGCAGCAACTCAGCATGAGAGTGAAGGCTCACAAACTCCAAAACTCACAGGCACTATTTCATAAATATTTATATGCAAGTTTCACTGCTATAGCTTTATGTTCATTACATTGTTACTAAAGTAATATTAGATCTGAAATACAGTAAAATACTTGAGATTCAAGCACATCATCAAATATCAAGAAAAATTCCCACAGTGTCTGTTAATATGCAAACAAGAGAAATACTCATTCAAAGTAGTGTACAGAGTGTCAACATCACAGGCAACTGCTGAAAAAACAAATTCAAAATCATTCAAAAAGACTGGAAATATTCCTTGAGAAGAAGTGTGTACTTTCACAGAAGCAGATTGTCTCAGCAGAGTTACAGGAGGACTTGGCCAGAAAAAGAATCTTTTAGTTTTACACATGAAATATAATTGAAAATAATTTAAAATATAATGTATTTAGAAGTATCAGCTATAATTATAAAAAATAAAGACATTACATATAATTAAATCACATAATTAAAATTATTTAAAATATAAATATATCTAATTTATTTAAATCCTAGGAAAGCTCCTTTTTCTTGGTCCCTTTAGCATAGACTCACTTCCAGACTATTTTTGTTATCTCTTTACCATTAAATTTACTGGCATTTATACATTTCTTTCCAATTCCTTTGCCATTTGTGTGTTTGCCACCAACAGATAGATTGCCTGTCGCATTTAAACTGGTTAGGAAAGATAGGAAAGTTCAGGTTAGGAACTTTCAGGTTAGGAAAGTTCAACCACTGTCTTCGACCAGTTGCTGGAGAGTCTGACAGTGACCCAGCACATCCCAACACCCTGATTTTGCAAAGTGATGGCAGGCCCAGTGGTTGAGTTGCCACAAAAGCCCAAAGATAATTCAAACATATACTAATGCTATCTCAGTACTTTTAACACACACAATATATAAGAGCCTTGTTTTTTATGGGTAAAGATGAGTTCGCCCAGTTAAGCAATAGCTGAGTACTTAGAGATGAGCTGTCCTATCCCTACTGCCACTGCTACTGCATCTTGCCTTTATCAACTTTACAAAGTAATGGCTGAAAGATTAAGCTCTACCTGTGTAAAAAAAGACAAATTTTGGTATAACTTAAAAGGGAGTAGCAGAAAAGCCATTGTACCAAAAAAGACTCACCTCCTCTGAGATGCTACAGACTTGAGGAAAAAAAAAAAAAAGTACTATATTCAAGAATACTGCAATGAAAACAAGGTTTGGTTGTTTTGTTTGTTTTGTTTTTTTTTTTTTAATAGGAATATTTCAGGTTTTCAGCTTGATATCTAGATGATCATTCTCTGAGGAAATGTACAGCATAAGCACATGGTACAGACTTGTCTTTTCCTCTGAGACTAAATGTAAACTTCACCGTATATCTTCAGTGTCCCTCTTTGAGAGAAAAGATTTAATAAATAAAAAACTTATTTCTTAAAGGAAGAACAGGCATGTGATTTTTTCTGTCAAGTCACCATATGGAATGAACACCACTGGTCTTTAAGGCTACTCAAGTAGTAATACACATTTTGTTGTTCCTAAAATTACACTACCCTTGAAGGTGAACAGAAAATCACTGAGAAAACTTTCCATCAAAGACTAAATATTGTTTCCTTTGTCTTAAGATGTGCTGTTTTCCTTAATCTGCCTTGCTGACTGTTTTCAAAATAATTAACTTTCACTAACACCACATTTACTTACATTCTCATGTTAGATGCTATAAAAAGAAACTTTTTCTTTACTCCTGCTCCTACCTAGTCAACATTTTAAACATATGCCTTAATCTTTGCCTTGGTTCATCAGATTTCAAATATGAACACAGTTATAAGTGTCACACTATGAGGGTATTGTGAAAATGATGCACTTATTAAGCACTGAAGAACTTTGATTCAGGTATACTAGAAATATTTACATGACAAATGATTTTATATTAAGTATGGACTTTGGATGCTTCATGTTTAACAGCTACAGACTGAGGAACATAAAAGGAAAAATCTAACCGCGCATTCGCTGAAAACAGAAGACAACCCCTCGAAAGCCTAGTATGTCATAGAATAAAATCTGCACCATAATGTGTAAGAGACTGGGTTTCCACAGGCCATATTAGTTCTGGCATTTCCTTGCTTCTGATGTTTTCATTTGCAACATTAACATCCTTTTAACATAATTTTATTGGATGTTATTACACTACATGCTAAACCATGAGCTGGTCCTGCTCTATGAGGTGTTACTGTACACATGCTCATGGTATTAAACTCATAATGCAACACAGGTGAGAAATCCCTTCTAACACTTAAACTAAGAACAGCTGAGAAATCTTGCAACATCAGCAGTAAATTTTTCTGGCAATGAATTTTCTGAGCTCCCTCATCTACTGCATCAAATATGGCCTTGGGCATCCCTCCCAGATTGGTAGGCATGCAACAGGGTTGTGTACAGCCTGCAATGCTTTGGGCTTGGAGGAAGTAGTTCTGCATGGTGGAGCTATGGAAGCTCTAACACTAATGCGAAAGAAGAGGAAGAAGAACCTTTTGCAGACACAAAGACATCTCAAAGCACGTCTATGTGCTTCCTCAGCCTGTGCTAATACCACTTCTGATTGATATGTAGAACCTGGATGCAAATGACAGCAAATTACCCTAGTGAAAGCTCATCAGCTTCTACTCACTGCCCAGAGAAGAGACTATGTCTGTGCAG